GCTCTGGGACCCCTCGCCGGTGCCGGCCTTCTTCGCCCGGGCTCCCCTCTCTCCGACCGCCGCTGCAACGCTCCTAAGCTCCAGTTGCGCGCTGGGTCTTACCCCACCTCCCCAGCACCCCGACGGAATTTGGGGCTCCGGCCTGGGCGGGGCCGGGGGTGGAGCTCCCGCTTTGGGGGCAGGACTCCCGTCGGTGCTCCGGCCTCGGTGCCGCGTCACGAGGAGTCCGGCGGAGTCGGAGCGTGCGGGCCTCGGGGCTCCCTGGTGCCCCCCGCCCCCATTCGCGAGCCGCCGAAGCGGAGCGCCCTCTCCCGCCCGACAGCCCGCCCCCCACTCCCGGGGCCCCAGACCCGGCCCCGCCCTGGCGGCAGCGCCCGCCCTGCCCGGACCCGGTTTGTCTGGTTCTCCCCGAGAGGCTTGTTTCTCGAATTTCTCCCTTTCCCCCTCTTCCTGGACCTCCGGGGCCCTCCCTCTCGGCCCGGCTTCCCGGTGCCCCCCGTCGGGGGCGTCTCGACACCGTGAGCCCGCCGAGTTTCGGTAGGACCCGCGGTGGGCGCGGGGGTTGGGGTGAGGAGACGCGGGAGCGCCCCGGGCCTGGGCGGGAGCGGAGTCGGGGGTGGGGGGGCAGGGAGGCCTCCAGCCCGCCCTCTGGACCTTTCCCGCGCTCCGCACCCCTCCCGCAGCCTTGTCGGCACCGGCTGAAAAACCACAGTTCCGCTCGGCTTAGGACGCGGCTTTATTGGGGATCGGGATACCCTGCCCCCACCACCTACCCCTGCCGAGCCCGCCCCAGCTCCGCGGAGCCCTAGTACGGTCCCGGAGGGGGTTAAAACAACACTGACTACTGCTCCTGGACAGGAAGTGACTGGGGCGCGGGGCGGGAGGGGCGGGGGTTCGCGAAGCTGCGCAGGCTAGCCTCGCCACCAGATGTGTGGCTCCAACTCCAGATGTTCTTCATCTCCATGCGATCCGCTGCCTGAGCTCCTCCCCGCCTCTGCCTGTGTGCCAGGCTGGGGAGTGGACGAAGGTCACTCAGACAGTTGGGTCAGCACCCGACAGTGGAGGAGTCTCAGTAGGGTCGTTGGTAAAGGGAGCCCGCAAGTGTCTGCTGAATCTTTGCCCCCACGCTGCCGGGCTTTGGGGACACTGGGGGCGGGGGGGGGGCTACCGGGATCACTCGCAGGCCAACTTCCCGTCGAAACTGGAGAGGGCGATGGCGAAAGCCTGCAGGGCGCACAGCGGGTACCGGTAGTCCAGGGTGAAGGCGTCTTCCGCCACGCGGCCGAACTGCAGCACGATGTAGTCGGCTGTGAACAGAGGGGTGGGGCGGCTCCTGGGTCGGGAGGTTGGTAGACAATGCCCCCTTTGCCTTGAGCCCCAATCCTCAGTCACCATCAGTTATTCGCCCTCCACCAGCTCGCCAACCCCCACTCTCCTACTCTCCTCTAGGGAAACCAGACCCATGTCCAGCTTTACTATCCCTCTGGACTGTAAACCCCTGAGGGCAGACCCTGCCTTATCATCTGCTGCCTAAGGCTATGCATACAACCACCACTGAGGTATGGGAACTTGTGAAACTTCCCCAAGTCTGGTTTCAATGCCCTACCATGTCTTCTGACCCCATTCCTTTCCCCACCTCTAGACCCAAGGCCTCTCTCAGAGTGAGTGGCAGGCTCGATCCCTTCACTAGTCCCCAAGTTCCCAGCGGCCAAACACTCATTACCTCTCCCACATCTGGTCCAGGTTCCCAGCCCCAGCCCCAGCACTGCCCCAGTCATCCATTGGGACAGGAAGTTGCTAAAAATACCCCCAACCTGGCAGACTGCTCCACCAGAAATGTGATCTGGAGAGCAGTTTTCCAAGGCCACAGGTGACATTGGGGACACGTCCCTAGGATGGAGTGGGCATAAGGAACTTGCTCACTGTTAGCCAGCCTTGTGAATTTAGCATTCCTTGGGAGATGCGGCCACCCCCAAACTTCCTCATCCTGTTGGGGGGACCTGCCTCCCAGGCTTATAACATGGACATTTTTACTTGCGTTCCAGTTATATCTTGTTTCCCTAGCTCCCCAAGTGAGGCCTTTGACCTCACTTCAGGGAACACAATAGAGAAGGCACTCAGAAATGTGCAGTCCCTAAAAAGCAGCTGTCTTGAAGGGGATTAGAGTCCCAGGTGCTGGAGTAAGACTCCCTGAGTTCTAACCCCAGCACAACCTCTTATTAGCTGTGTGACCTTGGGCAAGTTACTCCACCTTCCTGTACCTCAGTTGTCTCATTTGCTAAATAGGGACAATAATAATACCTTTCTCAAGGATTGATAAAAAAATTTAATGATTCAGTATCTGTAAAGTCCTGGAAGCTGTGGCTGGCTCATTTGGGGGCCAGTGTAACCTGGAGAAGCCAAGGGACTTTGGGTAAGGTGCTTCTCTCTGAGCCATAGCTTCTGGCCATGAAAAAAGTTTGGGCTGTTTGTCAGATGCCAACAGCTTAACTCTCCCTTCAACACAGTCTTACCCAGAATATTCCCTTATCTGCCCCAGGGCTCTGGTTAATGCTAGTATAAGAGCCTGGAGCCACAGACCCCAACATACTTCCTTGGACTATTTGAGGCTCCTGGGATCAGTGTCAACACCCTGGAGGAGTGACTGCTAGATGGGATGACCCAACTCAAGGAATAAAGGACAGCACTATGGGGTGAGAGGAATGATGGGGATAGAAGGCCGGGGCGGGTTGAGTCACAGTCCTGGAGATGGTGGGGTTAAGCCCTCAGCTACTCACGGTCATCAGCATGGACAATCTGGAAGTTTTTGACTGAGGCCTGGGTAACTCGACCTTGGAAGTTGAGGGTGTAGGAGCCACTGTCTTCATTCCAGACAGGTGGCTTGTTGTGTAGTTCAATGAGGCTCTCCAGTGTCTTGTTCTGCCAGCGCACCAGCAGCCCATCTCTGGCCTGGGGGCGGGGTGGGGGGGAGTAGGTAGGAAGAGGACAGTTAGGGGGAGCAGAGGTCTCTCAGAACTGACAAGGGGTGGGACCTGGGGACCTGTGGGTGCCCTTTGGTGTGAATGTGCAGGCGTGTAGCCTGATGTCAACATTCATCAAGGTTCCCTTAAGAGCATGTGTGATGGCTGTGTGTTGGTTAGGGTGTACCTCTGTGAAAGTGGGCTTTGGAGGGCTGGAAAGCATCATGTGTCACACAGTGGGTGCTCTGTGCCATTGGCACCATGGGCCCCAGGAATAACCACAGGCTGGCACCTGATTACAAGGATGAGGCAGATATTGTAGGACCTACAAGGCCTACATAATTCACAGTTGCACTTGAGAAGATCGACCGGAAAACAGCAGCTCAAATAAAATGTCCTAGAGATCTTCTGGCAGGAAGGAGGAGCAGTATCTGATGGTGTTCTTGAGTCATTTCTTCCCTGAGTTTCCTTCCACCTGTCATGGTTTTGGAATTAGTGGTCTTCCCAGTAGCCTTCCTGATCCCCATCTGACTTAGATGTTTTAACTCTGAGCTTCTGCAACACCTTGTTCTTAAACCATTTCTCTCACTGCACCTCCACGGACAGAATTAAATACTTTAAGGCAGGCACAGTGTTTTATGAATGTGCCTCCATTTCTCCACACAATGTGGTATTGTGAGGATTAAATAAATTAACAGTAAGTGATGTGTTATTTAGAAAATGCTCAATAAATATTAAATATTGTTTTGATGGTAACTTGTTGATTTTGGATCCCAGTGCCTGGCTTTAATAAGTAGTTATAGAATGATGAACTGTGAGATGATGAAGCGAGACCCAGAGCAGCACTGGGTATTTCTTATCAAGCTTACATGTGTGGGAGGCATACCCTTTGGAGGATTTGTGCATTTATTTCAGGCACGGAAGGAGCAACTGTGGGACCCACAGGCTTCTCGAGACCGGAACCGTCCTCGGCTGTTGCCCCATGGGTTGCCAGGCCTCTGATTGCTGCGTGACTTTCCAGCAGGGAAGGATGTGTGATCAGCTGACAGGGGTATTATTTTCCATTGTAAATGAGTAAAGTGACATCACAGTGAATATGGGGCATGCCAGTTACCCCGTCCCTGAAGTCCTAGGCTGGCTGACCTGCAGTGCCTAGGAACCTCCGGAGCTAGGGACTGGCACACTAATGGAGGTGGTTCTCTCAAGGGTGTCTCCCCATTTTACCCGAGACCTCACAAACACACATGCAAAACAAACAACCTTTGCTTTTTAAAATATAAGTCATGTCACTCCTTTGTTCAAAATCTTTCTAAGTCTTTGTTTCTCTCAGTTAAAATCAGTTACTGGGGCCTCCCTGGTGGCTCGAGGGGTTAAGTCTCAGCACTAGAAACTACAGCCAGCCACTGCAGCACCAGTTCGATCCCTGGCCAGGGAGCTGACCCACATGGCTCAGCAGATCTCTACTATCTTGCCTGCTGCTCCCCTCAGTATTTTTCAGTGAATCTGCCTGTTCTGCTCCCCACTCTGTCTCTGGTGAATCCTCTCACCCCCTGCACCTTTGGCCTGTCCCCTAGTTCTTGTGTGCATAAATTGAACAAATCTTTAACAAATAAATAAAACTAGTTACTGCCCCTTACTCTCACCTCTGACCTTATCTCCCTCTAACCTCATAAGCACTTTGCTGATCCTCAAACTCATCAGGCACCCTCCTGCCTCAGGGCCTTTGCACTGACTCACCCTTTGCGGGGATGCTCTTTCCCCAGATACCCATAGGCTCCCTCTCACTTTCTTCAAGACTTCTCAAATTTCACCTTCTCTATGACGCCCACTCTGACCACTGATTCACTGATTTTTAATTTTAAAACCTACATACACACACACACACAGTCTTCAGCTCCCTTTCCCTTTTCCGCTCCCCCCCCCCCCACTGCACTTATCACCTGCCGACATCCCATACAACTGACTCAGTCATCACATGCATTGTCTCCTGTCTGTCTCCCTCCACAAGCTTCCGGGGGCAGCTCCTTGTTTTGTCCTCCAAAACAAGTGCCTAGAGGACTATGCTCCATTCAATAGGTGTGTGCACAATAAATATATGAATGAGTGATTTGGTGTACATTAAACAAACAAAAAAAGAGAAAACGTGCTGTTTCAGTGACTTCAACTACAAGTCCCCCCACCTCCACACAACTTGCTAGAATGAATTTGTGCCTTAAGTGTGACGTATGCTCAGGGGCTGGGTGTTCTGAAAGTGAAGCCCCCAAGGGTTGGCAACAGGACCCTCAGGGAGGGGCGTCAAAGGCACAAGAGGCTCACATTTCGGGGTCGGATGGGGACCATCTGGTTGTCCACATTCATGCCGGGAATGATGACGGTCATGCGCCGTGGGCCTCGGAAGCCCAGCACATTGGTTTCCTGGGAACGAGAATGAGTTTGGGCCCAGTTGGGTGAGCCTTGCAAGGGGAGGGTGGGGGGAGGGTGGGGGGTTAAGGGGAGGGCGAGTTGGGCGAGGGGAGATCTCTCACATAGATAACTGCTGCCAGCTCCTGCCTAAGGCTCCCCACATCAGCGCTGCCTCTTCTGTGTGGATTCTGCCCGTTGTCATAAACCGTGAAGCGGTTCCCCAGGAGGTTGGATCTGCAAGCAGGGTGGAGCTGGGGGCGGGGCTGGGGTGTTCTGCACCCTGACTCCAAGACCCTCCCTCAAAGCCTTGCGGTTTATTGAGCTTCCAACCTCAAGGAGAGCTGGGGGTGTCTTAGGGCTGAGCAATTCAGGTCTCCGACCCTAGGCTTTCCTATGAGGTCTTTTTGAAAAACTGAATCTAGAAAAGGGAGACTGGGCTGTGTTCCGTTCTCAGCTCCATATGTTGTGGGCTGTGTGATCTTAGGCAAGTGACTTACACTCTCTGGGCCTTGACCTTCCCTTCTTTAATATGGGCAACATAAAGGGCCTCCCTATTGGCACAAGGGGTTAAAGTGAAGCAGCATGAATCTCTCTACAGCCACTGCTGCAAGAATTCCTTCTCTGGTCAGGGAGCTGACCCTCAGGGTGCAGCAGACCTCTCCTGTCCCGCCCACTGCTCCCCTCAGCAGTGTATTTCTGTCAGTCCCATCTGTTCTGTTCTCCACTCTGGTGAATCCTCTCACCCCCACCCCCATCTCTGGCGTGTACCCTAGTTCTTGTATGCATAAATAAATAAATAAATAAATCTTTAAAAGAATAATATGGTCATAGTAATAATCTTTACTTCATTTGGTTGATAGAAAGGGTTAGATGGGTTAATATTTAGAAATATGCCTGGCATATGAGAAAAAGGCCTTATTTACATAGCGCTGGTTAAATACATAAGTAAAAGAAATAAAGCCTGACTCAGGGTCCCACTTCACAGATGGGTGGTGAGGTTTAGGTGAGCGGTCACTGGAGACAACATAGAGCAGGTGCTGCCTATTTGTTCATGTATTCACTTAGTAAATATATTTTGAGTAGCTGTTGTGTGCAGGCTGGGAACTCAACCATGGACAAGACAGGCAGACTTGAGCCCTGGGACAGCAACATGAGCAGTTGTCAGAAATGCAGCATCCCACCCCCACCCCTTTTGATCAACCCAAATGAAGTAAAGATTATTACTATGCCCATATTATTTTTCTAAGGATTTATTTATTTATGCATACAAGAACTGGGGTACAGGCCAGAGTGGGGGGGCAGTGGGAGGATTCACCAGAGGCAGAGTGGGGAATAGAACAGATGGGACTGACAGAAATACACTGCTTGCACCATTAGGGAGGCCCAAATGGTGACCATATTAAAGAAGGGAATGTTAAGGCCCAGAGAGTGTAAGTTACAATTTTCATGATCGCTCCCAGTGATCTATGCAAAGTGTGAGAAGCTGTGGGCTGGGGGACACTTCTGGCTGGTCCAGTGTGGTGGGGTCCTACAGGCCCAGGGGAGCCCTCTTCCTGCCCAGGTCTCCCAGCCCCAGAGGAGCCCAGCTCACCTTAGCTTCCCAATGAAATTCTCCCCTCCTCTGGACAGATTGGTGGGGTCGCTGGAGATGAGGTAATTGGCTGTCTTACTCCGTTTCCGTTTCCTGCCAGCCAAGAGGAACACCTGGGGAAGGGGACGTAGGTGAGAGGATGGGAAGAGAAGACAGTGAGGAAGGAGGAGGGCGAGAGAAAAGAGAAGGGCCCCAGCCCTGTAACCCAAACCCTCCCCTGTGCCCCAGGCCCCCCTCAGCCTGGGTCCTGGCACCTCCTCTGTGCCCTCCCCCTCACTGCTCCCCACCCACCTTCTTCTCTGTGTCCAGATGCAGAAAGTAGGAGGGGTACAGGCCCCGATCCATACCCTTCTTGTCCCGGGTCAGCCGGCAACGCACAGTCCTACCACGGGGGGCAGGCTGAAGCACAAACTCCTGGGGTTCATCCACTTCCACTGGTGGGGATGGGGCCCTGTCCTCCTTCTAGGTGGGGGGAGAGGTTGCATCACCCCCAGAGCATCGGCTCCCCTGCCCTGGGTATATTCCCACAACTGGGACGGGCAGGACAGCTCAGTGCTCTGTGTGAGGAGGAAGGGAGAGGCCGGCTAGGCTGTGGTGGGCCCTTACACCTCCCCAGTGGCTCGGCTTCTCAAGCACCCCAGTTAGGAGGTTCTGGGGGGCCATGCGCTTTATTATTATTATTTACCTTGTGAATTAAAGCCCAGGTGCTGGAGTCAGACAGTTTCAGTGCAAATTCTGGTTTCACTACTAATTGTCATGTTTTTAAGTTTTAAACACCCTTGACTCTGTTTTCTTCATCTAAGAAGTAGGTAGGGTGAGGGTGGGTACCTGGGACAGTCCTTAATTTATGCGCTAAACATACTCAACAACTACCACCATGTAGATCTGAGCACTTTTTTTTTTAATATTTATTTATTTATGGTTAGAGAACTGGGGTACAGACCAGAGGTGTGGTGGGTGAGAGGATTCACCAAAGACAGAGTGGAGAGCAGAACAGGCAGATTGACTGAAATACACTGCTGAGGGGAGCAGTGGGCAAGACGAGAGGTCTGCCGCGCCATGTGGGTCAGCTCCCTGGCTGGGAATCGAACTTGTGCTGTGGTAGCTTTGGAAAGCTTCGTAGTACAGTGCTGTAACCCACTGTGCCACCAGGGAGAGCCTTCTGAGCACTTTTCGAATATTAACTCACTTAATTTCCAGATCAAGTTAACTGAGGTGGTGGCCCCATTTTATAGATAAAGAACTTGGGGCTCAGAGAAATTAAATAACTTGCTCCTATTCATTCAGCTAGTAAGAGGAGCATTTGAATTGTGCCCAGGCTCCTGTCAGACCTAGAGTGTTAGGAAGAACTTCCCCTCTGGATGCTAACTGGGTGGGGGTGGGGTGGCCAGGGCAGGGGCCGGGGGCGTGAACTGAGATGAGGCTGAGCATACAGCGCTAGAGAAGTGTCAGCTGCCAGATTATCACCAGCACAGATTGTCACTGAAGGTGGTAGCCGGCTTCCAAGATGGCCTCCATGAAGCCCTGCCTCCTGGTATTTAGGCCTTTGTTTCGTCTCCTGCACTGCATCAGGGGTGGCCCTTGTGACACACAGAATATGGCAGAAGTGATGGGGAGCACTTCCTCCTAGTGGCACAGCGCATTAAAGTGCAGCACTTGAAACTAGCCACAACCACCTGAACACGCGTTCAGTCCCCAGCCCCAGCCCCCGAGGTGACCCACAGGGCACAGCAGACCTCTCCTGCCTCACCCGCTACTCCCCTCAGCAGTGTACTCTGTCAATCAACCTGTTCTGCTCCCCGCTCTGTCTCTGGTGAATCCTCTCACCATTCCTGCACCTCTGGCCTGTACCCCAATTCTGTATGCATAAATAAATAAATCTTTAAAAAAAGAAAATTGGGAAACACAAGACCATGGAATATGATGTGGAGAAAGCCAAAGTTTGACCATGTCCAAACATTTCTAGATGTGAACTCTGAAGGCTGTATGTACTACAGTCACATTCCATGTGGCAGATAATAAACTGGCTTTTCAGTTTATATCAGTATCTGGTGACCTGGGCTGATGGGAATCAGTCCTGCTCACTCATATACAGACTAATAAACCAGAATGGCTAAGATCCTAGGCCTCCTTCATGGAGCGTTCTCCCCTGTTAGAAACCTACTTTTTTTTCTACATGGACTGCTCTGGCTCCTTCTTACTCCAGATTCTGCATGTTGTTACCTGAACTCTATTTGTAAACGGGCAGTGTTCAACATATTTAACAGCCTGGTCTCTCTATGGAGAAAGTGCAATCAGAATGGCCCTGGGAGGCCTGGAGGAGGGTCCTGGAGGTCCCTGGCAGCCCACATTAACCTTTTAGTTGCTGGGTAGTGTAGTAGCAGAAGAGCAGCAGGAAGCACTTGAAGAACGTAGACCAGCAGGGTGGACATTTTCTAACCGCATGCAGCTGGCCATGGGTCCATGTGCTCTCTGGTCTGTACACAGGTGCCAGTCTCCCTTCCACGCCCCCTCCCTGGTACAGAAAATGTGTCTCTTCATGTGGGAGCTGGGTGAGCATGTCTGGCTGTGTCTGCTGGTCAGGCTGCAGAGGGAGGGCTCAGACTACATGCCATGGGCCTCAGGTGGCCAGCCCTGGCCTGGCGACCCCACAACAGCCTCCTCTGTTCTCAAAAGCCTGGTGCCCTTTGTGCTCATAATCTGTTACCAGAGGGGGAGCCAAGACTGGAACCCTATAGCCCCAGTGTGCAATGACCTACACTCCAGTCCGCCAAGACCATGCCCCTGCCACTGCTCCCTGCCCCACTGTGCCCAACCTTTTTGCTTTTTCCTTTCCCTCTGCCCTTCTGATTGCTGTTCTTGGTCACTCCTGCGTCCACCTCTTCCTCCTCGTCTTCTTCCTTCTTCCTCTCCCCTTCTGCGCCTTTGGGAGTACCTGGGCATGGAGGGGGAGATAAACCTGTAAGCCGGAGCACTACAGGGTTGCTAAGGGCTTCCAATGCCCATGTCTCACTAGGCCTCTTCCCACAGTCACAGGGAATAGCCTGTACTGTTATCAGAACCTCAGAAAGGCTAAGACATGTCCTGATGCCACATAGTAAAGGGGTAGTCAAGATGTGCCCTCAATTTTTTTGACTCTGGCACCCCCTGGAGCCAAGTCTTCTGACTCTAGAACCCACATTCCTTGCACCTCAGTTCCCCATACCCTAAGACTTTCACCGTAACCCACCTTTCTTCTTCAAAGCTTTCTCTCTGGTCGGACCCTCCTCTCCAACCAGAAACATGGCTGCTGGCACCTTCTTCCTCACTCTGGCCGGACTCCCAGAGGGGTCCTTGTCTTCCTCCCCAGACCCTGCATGTGTGAAATGTGAAGAGGGGTCACAAGCTCATCACACCCAGAGCCCTGTTCTTCCCTCCACTGGACTCACCTTTTTTCTTTATCTTTCTCAGCTTGGTCCCTTCCTCCACGGGTATCTGCTTCTTAGCGCGCAGAGGTTTTGGTGGGGGCACAGGGCTTCCCAGGTCCCCTGGAAATGGAGGGTGGGGGTTAGACAGAGAGCCTGCTGGGGCTGAAGACCACCTTCTAATTGTTCCGCCAGTCCCCAGGAGGCTGAGGCCTGACTAGGGCCCAGAATCTATCTTCTGTATGTCACATTTTCAGTCCTGAGTTCAAAAAGGGCTGGACAAACACCAGAATTTATTAAGCGGTTACTGAATGAAGGATGGATGGATGGATGGATGGACAGACGGACGAACAGACAGTACAAGCCAGACCTCCTAACTGAGCCTCTGAATCCCAGCTCCCCTGGACAGTGCTGGAATGCACATTCCTGCTCACAAGGCTCCAGCCTCTCATCCTGCTTAGAGCAGATGCAGCACCTTGAGGGTGAGGTGCTCAGGCTGGGGAGGCATCACATTTACTCTTTGACTGATTTTTACTGGGATCACTTTGATACTTTCATAACAATTATAACACTTAAAAAACAAAAAACCACTAAACGCAAATCACAAAGAAAATGAAAATCCTTTGCCCTTCCCTGCCTCAAGGAGCACCCAGGACTGTCTGGGGCAGGAAGCCTCTGGTGCACGCACTGGGTAACGTTCTGCCGTTTCCAGTCCTGCCAATCAACTGACTCCCAGCCCCTCAAGGGCATGGTGAGAAGGTGCTTCTGTACCCACAATACCTACCCCTCTGACCCATGGTCTTGACTCTCTTCTCCTTGATGTCTGTGGAAACCTCTTTGGGGGGGGTCTTGGGAGGCAGAGCGATTTTTTCTTTCTTTCCCTCCTCCTCTTTCTCTTCGCCCTCCTGGACCTCTTCTTCCTCTTCCTCATCTTCTGTAGGTGGAAACTCCTCATTAAGTGGCTTGGGGTGGGCCCCCTTAGTGGGGAGCCCAGTCCCTCCAGATGGCTGGAAAGCCGGCAATGAGTACCAGGGGGAGACGGAGGAGGCAGCAGCCCAGAACTTTCCTTCAAGAATGAGAGTGCCCCCAACGTCCTCTGGGCTCTACAAGTCCGGAGTGTGCACGGGAGCTTGTGGGGAGCTCTTGCGAATCCCCTCGTGGGAAAATGCTTCCCGCACAGGGCTTTTCCTCTCTCTGGGCTGCCTCCTCACACGCTTCCCGCACACCTGAGCGTCGCTTTCTCTGCAGCTCTAGTCACCCGAGCTGATGCTCCGACTTTCCTTCTCCTGCTGTCCTCCCCTCCTCCCCGCCCCCCTCAGTTACTGACCTAGAGTCAGGACCCCCCCCCCCACCTCTATCCCCAGCTGAGCTATAGTTTAGGGTCAAACAACAAAAACCCCTCCCGTTTCCCCATGAGGAAAACGTTAAAATCGAAACAGTTTTTGCAGGCTCACAGACAAGCCCACGGAAGCGGTGGCGCTTTTCCCCTCTGGCGCGGGGCGGTGCCGGCCGAGCCAGGCTCCTCCGCACCCCGCCCCCTTCCCCGCCCAGCCGGCGGGCGCGTCTCACCGTCCTCCGCGTCCCGCGCGCCGGCTACCAGGAAGGTTTCCCGGGGATCGCGCTTCTTGGCCTCGGGGTCCCTGAGGAACTTGGCGTACACGGTCTGCTGCGCCCCGCGTTGGGCCGGCTCCTGGGCGGGGTCCTCCCGCAGCCTCCCCCTTCTCGCGACTAAGCCGAGACGCGGGGTTCAGGCAGGAACCCATTCCTCCCCACCACGGCGTCACGCCCCCCACCCTTAGGGCTCCGCACGCTGGGGTTCTCCCAGGCTCTTCGCCACCGTGGTCACCTCTCCCTTGGCTTTCGTGGTCCCCTCCATTCACCCCTCCCCAGCTCAACGCCAGCCCCGCTCCCACCTCGGGTTCTCCCATTCTTCTCTCCGGCTTTTCGCTCCACTGCGAAACTGAACAACACCCTCCCCCGCCCCGAGCCCTTCCCTCCCGCGCCCCTCACCGTGGGGGGCGCCCGCAGCCTCGGCCCCCCTCGCGCCTCCGGGTCTTCGGAGCGTGGATCTCGACGGGCTGGGAGACTCAGGGGCTTCAGTCTTTTTCTTCCTCAACTTCTGTCCCCGGACGGGTCGCTGCTGAGTGATAGGTCAAAAGGAGGGAGAGGAAGGAAAGGGGGTGCTCTGAGAGCTGCTGGCCACTTCTAATCTCTTGAGATGCCAGAAATAACCGCGGATTATGCAGAGAGGCCTTGCAACCTGCTTCTTGGGGTCAGATTCCCTCGGGTGCATCGTGGACACTTCCAATGGCCCCAAAGTCCAAATTCTCCCTGACAACCCAGGCTCCCAAGTACCTCTGCCTTTCCTCCACCGTCCCCCCAAAACAAACAAACAATATCAGGGAAGCACCTCCTAGAAACTGCTGAGGATGTTCCCCACCCCAGGCCCCCTACACGGTGGGTTTCAGCGCAATGGGGGATCTTTCACGCCTCCTTTCCAAGCAGGGGTGACATACCTGTTGCTGGCGGCGGCGTTGCACCTCTGGGCTCTGGTCTTCCTCCCCGTGCCCGCTGAGGGTAGCAGAGGAACCAGTCTGTCTCCCCCCACCCCCTCCTCCCAAACGTTCCCTAGGGGGCCGGGTTCCGGTTGGGTGAGGAGAGGACAGGGGTGCCTGACCTGTCGGAGGCCCACACCTCCCGGAGGGCGTCTTCCTGCAGCGGCATGGTGCCTTCGCCCATCCGTGCCCCCTCTCTGGCCACTCTGCGCCTCCAGGAGCCTCTCTCTGCCCCTCCCTTCCACCAGCTAATCCAGGCTCATCTTCACCTGCCTCCCTCCGGCTCAAGGGGGTGGAGGCCTGGTAGCTTTTGCCTTAGAGGTGCTGACTTGTCAATTGACAGTGGGGCACAGGAAGAAAACGAGGTCCAATATTTACCTTCATTGCTCATAAAAAATTAAGAACTTGTATTTGCAAACATTTAATATATAAATTGACAAAACCATGTGCATATACTTTATAAAGAAATGTGCTACACAGTTGGTATAAACGTAAAACTTTTTTTTAACTGATGGGGGCATGTTTTGTGAAAAGTCTGGAGACCAGGATATAGTGTTGCATGGTTAATATTAGAGGAGAGGTCTGGATAAGTGCTGAAAGGGCCCAGAGACAGACCCAAAAAGGGGTCCCTGGGGCTTCTTAAAGCAGAGTTCAAGCTCAGCCCAGGCCCTGAGCTCTTAGCTGACTGTCCTTGGTTGTCTGTCAAATGTTGGACAGTAGTAGTAGCTCCCAGCTAGGGACCTTGTGCAGATGAAATGAGAAGGACAGTGAGCATTCAAGATGCAGAGACGACATGCTTCTTTTTCAGGGTACCTGAACTTAACCTCTGTGTTCCCAGCACTTATAGTGCACCTCAACATGCAGTTGGAGTTCACTTTTTGTGTGAGTGAGCTGATGAGTGTATTTGTTTGATTCTCATATGAGTGCAATGAGATGGGTGGGTAGAAATGATCACCTCCATTTCAGAGTTGGAGAAACTGAACCTCAGCAGGTGACTATCATCCAGTCCCCTTTATAGTTACCTGCGGATGGTCAGCTAAGTGGTAGCCACACCCAATGTTGCTGAACCCGGGCCCATGGCCCCCTGATCCAGATTTATCATAATTAATCTTTCTCAAATATCACTTTGTTTTTATTTATTTATGCATAAAGAACTGGGGTACAGCCCAGAGGTGCAGGTGCGGGGGAGTGAAAGGATTCACCAGAGACAGAGTAGGGAGCAGAACTGGTGGATCTACTAAAATGCACTGCTGAGGGGAGCAGCAGGCAGGTCAGGGGAGGTCTGCTGCTCCATGTGGGCCACTCCCTGGCTGGGGATCGAACTCACACTGCAGTGGCTGGCGATAGCTTGACAGAATTGAGACTTAACCCCTCTGTCACTACAGAGGCCCAAATATCATTTCTTTAGCTGACACCTTTGCTCAAAAACATCCACTGTCTCTCTCCTGCCTAAGGATCAAGTTTAAAATATGTCCGGTTGTCATTCAAAGATGACCCCACTGCTTATCTCAGAGTCTACTCTTCACCCAGCCATTGTAAGTTTACCTACCACCTTTATGCTTCCTCATCTGCCGCTTCACTCAGTCTGTCATCTCCTGGAATACCCTGTTCTTCCCCGAATCCTTCTAAACCTAAACAGCCCTGAAATTCCACCTCCAAGATTCCTCGGTCCTCCTCACTCATCTCTGAATACATAATAAGAACAGTAATGACCTTTACTGTCCAGGCCCTTTCCTGTGTCCACCCTCACCTTACTTCTCAGACGTTCACACTGATATGAAAGGCGAGGAAATTCCTGCTGAGTGTTGGTCAGTAAATAGCCCCGAATGGGTGCCAACCACTGGCTATCCAGTGAAGGACAAAAGGGTGAGGTCTCTGCCCTCATGGAGCTAGGTTCTGTAAGAAAGACACTTAGCAAAGCTATAAATATACAGTGAGTCACAATGACCTCACCATCACTATTAATTGTAATAAATGCCAAGATAATTGTTCTATACAAATTAATAATTAACAAACAACAATGGTAATGAAGGTGGATATAAAAAAAGTTATCACTGTAATAAATGCCAAGAAGGAAGAGAACTAGATTCCGTGAGAAGAGCAGGTGGGATCCAGTTTGAGAAGTGAACTTTTAAGCTGACCTGAAGCCTGCAAAGAGAATGTTCCAGGTGCCACACACAGGACCTCTAAGATATTTCCAGGCAGCAAAGAACTTGGCACACTTAGCAAAATAGCCCCTACCACAGGGCAAGAGCCGTCCTGCCTAAGACCCACATTCCAGAGGGTTCCCAAGGAGCCCAGACCCCACAGACAGGTAACTAAGAATGACAGGGCGCTGGGCTGGGCGCTAATGGGGCTGACAGTGAACCAGACACCACGTTCTAACACCCATGGGCCCCCGCCTCGGCCCTCCACCCCTTGCCTGCTGTTCTCAAAACCTGTGAGGGTGGGGTGTCAGCGAGGACACTACCAGTGTGGGAGGATTTGAGCAGCAGAAGCTTCTGAGATAAAGAAAAGGTAAATTCATATCTCAGGTTGTAGGGATGTGACATACTGCCCAGCAGGGTCCACTGAGAGCATTCTTTCTGTCTTTGGGTTCTCGTAAGGGCCCAGTGAGATTGGTGAGTAGAGATGTTCATTTTCATTTCATAGGTGGAGAAACCCAAGCTCAGGGGGTGATGAACGTTCTCAGAGTTCTCAGGAATGAGTTCAGAGTTCATAATAGCTGCACACGGCCACCACGGTGCACCTCCAATGGGAAACACTTCCTATCACTGTTAAAGGGGCTATATGTACTCTGAAGCTTCTTCATGTTTTGTTAAAGATTGATTTATTTATGCATACAAGAACTGGCCAGAGTGATGTGGTGAAAGGATTTACCAGAGACAGAGTGGGGAGCAGAACCAGAGGATTGACTGAAATACACACCTGAGGGGAGTAGTGGGCAGGCCAGGAGAGGTCTGTGCCATGTGGGTCAGCTCTCTGGCCGGGTGGGGATCACTATGATGACATAGTGGCTGCTGATAGCTTCAAGGTGCTGATACAGTGATCCTTGGCCTTGACTTCCACAATGCACACTGGCTGCTGCTGTCTGTCTCTCCCACCCCCCAATATTTATTTATGCATACAAGAGCTGGAGTGGAGGCCAGAGGTGGGTGGAGGAAGGGAGGGTGGTGTGGGGTGTGTGAAGCATTCACCAGAGACAGAGTGGGGAGCAGAACAGGCAGATCCACTGAAATGCACTGCTGAGGGGAGCAGCAGGTGAGACAGGAGAGGTCTGCTGAGCCATGTGGTTCAGCTCCCTGGCTGGGGATTGAACTCAGGCAGCAGTGGCTGCAGACAGCTTCATAGTGCTGCAACTTAACCCCTTGTGCCACCAGGGAAGGCCCCTTGTCTGTCTTCATGCTGACTCAGTGCCCAGGGGACCTTGATGATGACGTGGTGGCCAAGCTTGTCTCTCCCTGGGGCACTCTCCTAGGCTATCTGGGCTGTCTTCTGGGCTGCAGTTCTTGGGGCATTGGGGGGGGGGACGTGCAGGTGTGGGCAACTTTCAGAGCTGCCTTCAGAACCCAGTCTCCATGGGGGAGGTACTCCCCAGACAACCTCAGTGGCATCCCCCAGGCCTGAGGCTGTGACCTGATCCAAAGCCAGGCAGGATCCTGCCGAGGACAGGTGACAGAGACCAGTGCAAACTAACCCCTTAACTGTCCTGACTAGTCACATCCTCCCCTCAGGCAGGACCCCAGAGATGTCTCCAACTTATCACCCTCTCTGCTTTGCTCTGTGTTGGTGGGAAAGGTGAACCCTAAAGCCCCCCGGCTGAATCCTCCAGTCCCTTCAAGCAGGTTCTACTTGCATCACCTGGTGACCCCAGGACAGATTGGTTTAGTCCGAGAGGTTGGGGTGCACAGCCATGTGCTTGCCCCTGACTGGGTCCTGTGGAGAGTCACCAGAGGGAGAATGGTCCCTACAGAAAGGAAAACAGGGGTTCCACCACTGCTGAGCCATTGCTGAAAAGCCCATGTTGACTGATGCAATAGCAGCAGTTGTGACGTCAACTGAGAGCCTGCTGGCCCTCTGTAACTGCTTTATTCGTGTCAGTGCAGTTAAAACAGCCATTTCACGCCACAGAGGCTACTTTGATGTAGGTTTTACCTATGAGGCAACTTCACAGAAAGCTGTGGTCACTTGCCCAGGGTCACCCAGCCAGGACACAATGCCCAGGGTCTCCCTCAGAGCTGGTGCTGGGGAGCATGACCCCCTCCTTCCTCAGCTCAGTCCAACCTGCTGTCCTCCCGCCAGTGTGCCTGCGAGCCTTGGGGGAACAAACACCTCAGTGCACATAGCTTGTCAGAAATTTGCCTGTTCCCACAGAGCAGAACCCCAAGGAAGAAAAAGTGGGATAGGCTTACTTGTTTGTTGGTTCATTCACTCATTTTGTGCATACAGAACTGGGGTACAGGCCAGAGGTTCGGGGGGGTGAAAGGATTCGTCAGAGATAAGAGTGGGGAGCAGAGCAGGCCGACTCATGAAGTACATTACTGAGGGGAGCGGCGGGCCAGAAAGGGAGTCTGCCACGCCATGTGGGTCACCTCTGGGGCTGGCAATCAAACTTGTGATGAAGCAGTGCAGCTAACTTCGTCGTGCTGTGCTTTAACTCATTGCACCTCCAGGGAGGACCATCACCGTATATATTTAAGGGTGTAGGTCAACACCAGGCCCACCACCAAACACCCATAACCTTCCGCTTTTGTCCATTGAGTGCCCTCCCTGCCTTCCTCCTCACGCCCACTCTTTCCGGGTAGCCTCAGGTCTACAGTCAAAGTTCTAGGGAATGTTCTGTCTGCTTCTTTGCTTTGTTTTCTCTATTCCACATCTGAGTGAGCCCATCTGATACTTGTCTTTCTCATTCGAGTTATTTTACTTATTATCACCTCCAGTTCTATCCATGTTGCTGCAAATGGCAAGATTTCACCTCTTTATGGCTGAGAAGCATTCCACATCCTGACACACTCCTGTCCGGGGCACTTGGTTTGTCTCCTTAGCTTGGCTACTGTAGATTCGCTGCAGTGAACATAGGGGTGCAGGCATCCCTTTGATTTAATGTTCTTGCATTCCTGGGGTAGATTCCTAGGAGAGCAACTTCTGGATCCTACGACAGACTGTTTT